AGAAATCAACACGTCTAAAGGTTTCGGATTTGTAAGTTATACCACTGCTGAGGAGGCTGATCGAGCTAAGCTGTCGAGGAACAATAAAACCCTTGGGACAAAACAAATTATTGTTAGACCTCATGAACAAAAAAATGGGTGAAGCCAATAATTTCAATACTGCTTCAGAATCTCGTACTCCTTCTCGTCGAAATTTCGACAGTATCCTATCAATGCGGTCAATGAATATGACCAAGAAGCTCTTTCTGGACTCGCGCCAAAAGTACGAACTGAAATTTTGAGTTCTGAATTGCAAAAGCAGTTTAAAAATATCGCTGTTTCTCAAGAAGTGGTCCAATTATTGAACATCTCTTGAAAGATCCTCCTGCATTGACACAAAAGGTTAATTTTTACCTCTTTGCATATTTGTACGCAACAATAAATATTAATATACAAATGTAATGAATAATGTGCTTAATGAAAATTTTAGATTCACGAAATACAATCTTCTCTTAAAATGGAGCCAAGCACACCAAATGTTTCAACACCTTCGCATGCAATGGCAACAGAACGTGAAAAGTTTTCAAAAGCGATTAAAAGAATTGCGTCTCAACATACCGATGAGATTCTTTAATTAATCATATCTTTGAATAAGAAAGAACGTGCTTTGTGCTATTTCAATCCTGAATATTTAAATAAAAAAAGTATAGAAGCTAATTTACACTTAGTCTTACGCGTGTAGCTGATCATCCACTACTCCTTCGAGTCCAAATAAACTTTTAAACTCTGCAGATATCACGCATGCTTCAACTCCTCCCACCAAATCACCGGAACCAACAACGATGACTTCTATTTCACCTTCTCAGCCAAAAATACCAAAGCAAAGTGCAACTCTTAGCGACAATGTTTATGATACTCAGCATGAGGAAATAGAACTATTTCTCGAGTCTCTCAAGAATAAAAAACGAAGGCTCAAGCTTCTCGATCTCCGCGAATTAGCTCATTCGATGAATAATCCGGATATATTTAAAGTAAAAGTTGAAGCTGCGGTGGCAAAAATTACTGCCGGTTCCATTGCTGCCAAATAAGTGCAAGCATCATCTTATAATGTCCACATATAAATCAAAAATTTCAAATAAAACACAAAAGTGAACTCTCGAGTGTTCAACAGTAAATGTACGAGTATGACGCGCGTTATGAATATCACAGATAAATAGATATCGATCGTCCAAGGAATGTGCTAACACTAATAGCTAATATTAAATGGAGAGTAGTCCAATACTGCGCCACTGGACTAGAGATGGCGCAGCAAGTATGTGACACTTATTTGTCACCCGTTGCAACACGTTGCAACTCCAAAATTTTATAAGCCGTAACTAGTTGCAACTAGGTGATGCTTTATTTGTCACCACGTTGCAATAGTTGCCATACCATCTTTACACTGGACTTGGTTTACAAGTCCAATCTGGTTACAAACATAATGACAACACGCGATATCAGATAATGTTCCCGGATGGTGCAAATTTATCATTGAAAATGTTGGGATCCTATTCCAGAAAACAGAGGAACTTTATTACTTTACCCAGTCTATCAACGATGGATATCGGCAAAGTTGAATTCATTGCATTTTCAGTTCTGCGACTCTTTTGAGTCTCCTAAGACAGATGAAGATATTGATGAGTGTCTTACAAGAATAATTAAATTCACAATGAAACACTCACAATATCATGCTCTTTATTAGATAAAACTTGACTGGTAAGTGTTAATTTATATATATAATCAATCTTTTTAATTTGCGTTAGTGTTAGCGTTATAGTGTTACCGAAGTAGCATTAAATTCTTCGATTCCGCAATTATCGTTATGATTCTCAATTTCTATATGAAAATCTTTCCATAACAACCTATATAAAAATCCCTCCAAAATTAGTTTCTTGTGTAATAGTAAGTTCTATTGCAAACCAAATTTAGTTACGTATTACCTTTTTTATTTATTTACATGTACATGTATATAGAATTACGACATTCCATCGTTCTTTTAATACATGTATAACTACGTAACAATCACAATAATTATTTGAACAATCGGGAGTGTCGAACGATAGTTAATACACGTAACAGTAACGATTATCAAGAGGATAATCCCGACAATCATCTGGACGGGTGACGTTCCACATTCCGACAACCACAATCCCGACAATACATGAGTCTAACAAACGAAATCTCGAATGAACAGCATACCGAATGCACGGTATACCGAAAGCATAGCATACCGAAAGCACGAAATCCCGAATGAACAGCATACCGAATGCACGAAATCACTAATTCCCCAGGTTTCTGATTGGATGCAAGTAATTTCCATCGCTGATTGGTTGACTGCACATCGAGTTTTCTGGACCAGACCGGCAAAACAAATCCGTCACAAGAAAATTAAAATGCGAATAATGTGAAATATACGGAAAACGAATGCTTAAATCTGGCTTGAAGCACTAATGAAAAATGTCAGGAAGGCAATTTTACATATAACCTTATCCTCGACTCTAACCCTAACCTTTAGTATCCTCAACCAATCAGAAACCTGGGGAAATTAGTAAATGCGTGATTTCGTGCTTTTGGTATGCTATTCATTCGGTATATCGTGCATTCGATATGTTGTTCATTCGGGATTTCGTGCTTTCGGTATGCTGTTCATTCGGGATTTCGTTTGTCGGGTTATGGCTTGTCGCTTTCGGGATGTCGTACCAGATCCTTTCATATGCCATTTAAAAAAAGGTGGAAAAAACTACGTAACGTGATATTGAATTTATGATTGGTTCGCCGCAAGTTACACTAAAAATTCTTGATACATGTACATGTACATCAACAATTACAGATAGAAGGGTTATTTAATCGCTATCATATCAAGAACCATCCAAATATGAATACTCTACTGCAAGAATCACGTATTCAACTTGTTGGTTTAGATGGTGGAATTCAAGAAATTTCCCAGGATAAATTGCGAAGTATTCGATAAAACACAGAAATAACACAGAAATTCAAAAAAATAATGTTGAAATTTTTGAAAAAGTACATGAAATAAATCGAATATATATCTAAAATTTCATTTTTCAAAAAATCGAACGTTACTTTCTGTGGTGACTGTACGTAGGCACATAAAATGTGATAAATTTCGTATACATAAACACGTTTCGGGCACGGGTTTGTTGATACGAAATAACACGAGATTGTCATTCCGTGTGATTTCTGTATATTTTACATGCTTATAGGACATTATTTTAAAACAGACTATTTTAACTATGTAACGGTCCTAGTAAAGATTCGACAGATAGCATTTGAGTGAATTCATTATTTTTTGTTCATATTCGAATGAATACTTTTTTGCGATTCCATCTTCTCATCAAGTTAAACTTATCAACTATACTTTTTTCAAAGACAAATCTAATACGTAATTCGTAATAATATTGTATTTAAGCTGAATAAATTTCCTGCAAAATGATAATCTTAGTTCTTTAAGAACTAAGATTATCTTTGGAAAAACTTTTTTAAAGTTTTTCCAAAAAATTTTGTTTTGGATAAAAAACATTATCGTCATCGTTATTGCAAAACATGAAATGAAAGATTTTTTTATTTGGAATATTATTAAGTTGTAAGTCTTGATATTACTTGTTTATTTTCGCAATGCGTAAATCATGATCATCTCTAGACCCACTTGTCGAATGCACAAATCTTGAACATTAAAATTGAACAGCTGTCGTAAACTTTTCCAGTATTGTGGAAATCA